GCTCTGAGCTAACATCTATTGCCAATCCTCCTCCTTTTTGCCCCCCAAAGCCCCAGGAGATAGTTGTATGTCGTGGTTGCACACCCTTCTAGTTGCTGTATGTGGGACGCAGCCTCCGCGTGGCCAGAGAAGCAGTGCATCAGTGCGCGCCTGGGATCCGAACCCGGGGCCGCCAGCAGCGGAGCGCACGCACTTAACTGCTAAGCCATGGGGCCGGCCCTAAGACTCATTTCTTATTGTGTGATTTGGGCAGATCATGTAACTTCTCTAAGCCTAAATTTCCTCAACTATGAAAGAAGGATAAAATCTTCTACTTTTTAGGCTGTTGAAGGGATTAAATCAGATAATGTGCATTAAGAGATGACCAGGTCACTAGAAGACTAAAGGGGAATTTTTTCACTTTGAGAGTCAGTGATGTTGGTGGAAATGGCATACAACTTAGAGTTCTAAGGGTGATAACAGTCCTTCCTTCACAATAGGAAGAGACCCAGGGATGAAAAAGGCACAGTCCTCCAGGGACTTGGTCCCTCACTCTTTGCAATTAGAATCAGTGCTTGCAAATCCATGAGATTCTTTAGTGCAAGAAGATGATTTAAATAAGTCTGAGTCAAGGTCAGAATGAGATATGATACACACAACAGCAGAGATGAATCTCAAATACATCATGCTAAGTGAAAGACGCCAGACTCAAAAGGCTACATACTGTTTTATTACACTTATATGATATTCTGTAACAGACAAAACTGTAGGGACAGAAAACAGATCAGTAGTTGCCAGAGGCTGGGAGGAAGGAAAATAGTTTGATTACTAATGGACATGGAGGAATTTTGGGGATGATGCACTGTTTTATGTACTGACTGTAGTGTAAGCTCATAGACCTATACACTGTACACTAAAAAGGTGAATTTTACTGTATCTAAATTATACTTCAATAAGACTGACCCCTCTCCCCCTACCTCCCAAAATATGATCACAAATGCTGTAGAGAGAATTGTTGTACTTTAGGAGAGGATGAACTGGATGACATCTAAATTCTTTCCCACCCCAAGTCCTATGATTTTATGACAATCTCCCTCTCCTACTCCTGGTGACCTCAGAGCCATAGTGATTAGGATTAAGTCTGGGCTCCAATTTCTGTGTTAAAGCAATGAGTCCCTCTGACTAAATCAAGTGGATATCAGTCTTGCCACCACTCAGGGATCTCTGGCCCTACTTCAGACTATGACAGACGTTCCTTTCCTTCTCTCGCCTATTGTGACTCCCCTTCGGACTGATGAGGACCTTAGACAATTAATAAACAAGCCAGAATAAACCTTAGGAGACGCTGATTTTCTCTCTATGTACAGGCTTCCTGTCCAAATCCCGTTTGATCTTTCCACTGAACTTCAAATCAGGCAACAAAATAAGAATCATATTTATGAATTTCCCTCCTCTATGGACTTCTGGGCTTCCACTATATTATTTTTATACACTTAAGCTACATAAATGTAAAATGCGAGCCTCTCACCAAAATCATACCCAAACTTGTTGATATATACAGATAGATATAGATATGTCGTTTTTTTTGTTTACACACCTCCCAGATTATTAATCTATCAAATGTTACACAAAATAGTCAATTTTTCTTATATGCAGAACAGCCCTAAGCATGCTATAGCCAGGGAGGACTAAAATAGCCATCAGAATGCTCACACTTTCTGCTAATAGAAAGACCACTGTCTTCTTTGCCACAGAGTCACAACTGTGAACTGCTATAGGAGTCCCATCCTCTTATTTGAAAGTCAGTTCCTTTCCTGGCTCTTCTTGGAGGATCTCAGTGGAATAGTTACAAACACCAATAACCAGAAACCTCATGCATGCTTGAAAGCTGGAATGAAAATCAAGGACCACAAGACAACCCTAGACTTGCCAGTGCCCTCATATTCCAAAGGACAGAGAAGACGTGGTAGGGACCAGATAATGTCCACACTGCTCTTTTCTGCTGAGCATTTATAGCAAATGCTTTGTGACTACAAAAGTGGGGTGCTCATATTATAACAGAAGGGGCTCACAGTGGTCTAGGGTCTTGTTTCCACATGTTCTTCTCAGAAGGGAAGAATGGGGGAATTACACTTCCATGGTTTAGAACTATCCAGTCATCTTCAGAAGTCTGCATCAGCAGAAAATAAGTACCTCGCCCTAAGTCACTCAAATGATAACATTGCTCCTTTGGCATAATTAGAAAAAAATTCATAAAAGACTAAAATACTTAGCAGAAAACACAGTTTGGCATTTTATTCAAAGGTATACAGATTGACAGGCAATGCTTGTCCAGGGTTCTCCCCAAAATATTTCCATTTTCAATGGTATTTCCTAAGGACATATTCCTACAGTGTTTTCTTTTTTTTTTTTTTTTTTTTTTTTTTTTTTTTTTTTTTTAAAGATTTATTTATTTATTTTCCCCCCAAAGCCCCAGTAGATAGTTGTATGTCATAGCTGCACATCCTTCTAGTTGCTGTATGTGGGACGTGGCCTCAGCATGGCCGGAGAAGCGGCGCTTGGGTGCACGCCCGGGATCCGAACCCGGACCGCCAGCATCGGAGAGCGCGCACTTAACCGCTAAGCCACGGGGCCGGCCCTACAGTGTTTTCTTTCATACGTAAGTTATGATGATACTGACCCACAAAATGCCAAATAAATGTTTTTTCTAATTTTAAGGATGGACTTTCACAGAGAATATCCTGGTAGCTGCTAGAGTGAGGGCTATTGTCTGTGATCATAGAATTGAATGAGTCAAGGCTTGCTGGCCATCATGGGGACTAAATGCATGACTTTTGACAGTGCTCAAACCAGGACAATGCTGCTGCTTCACAGAAGCAGACAGAAGTCCTGTAGACCCACCTGGCCAGACCTGCTGCCTCAGTGAGAGAGCTAAGTAGAACCACCAGACACAGGACCGGTGACCAACAGCCTTAGCTGGCGAAGCCTTAGCTGATCCTCTCAGTCCTCAGCAGATCAACAGAATTCACATTTTAACATCTTTGCAAGCTGGCAGACTAGCTGTCTAGCCCTTTTACACTCAGCCTAGGAGAAAAGCACAAGCCTAAGGTTCAAAGAAGATACTAGCCTCTAGGATTCCTGGGCCCTCCTGCTATATACAACACAAGGCCAAGTTTAAAGTGAGTCCATTCACCTACCACAGCAGCAGAACACTACCTTAACTAACTTGTACCCACCTGAATCAAGCCTAAATGGACACTAGCCAACTACCATACCCTGAGCAAGCAGTCTTTTCCCATCTCCTTTGCTCTTTCTGCAACGGATGCTTCTCACTACCACTTCTCAGATCAAAACATCATTAGTTTCTGACCAAACTATCTTAAGTAAGAAATAGCCAGGGCCCAGATTCCATGTTAATTTCCCAATAATTATCCAGTTACAAAGAACTGAGGAGAGTGAAGGAGAAATGACATTACCACATCCTGAGATGCATACTCGGGGTCCTCTGGGTTGACCGACCAGTAGCAGTAATCAAAGCCGAAGGCCACAACCTTCTCCCGGGAGTCGCCAAAGCCATCTGGTCGACCATCCACCTAAAATCAAACACAGGATCCAGTATCTTCTCTATTATAATATCAGAATCTGGCCAGTGGCACTTGATTCCTCTCTGCTGTAGTTAGAGAGACTTGGACTGGTCATAAGAATCTTTATATCTACTTGAAAAAGAAAAAAAGTAACCTTTGTCCCCATCTCATTAAGTACAAATAAAGTGCCAGATAATTAAACTTGTCTATCTTACTATCATATATCTGCCTAAGTATGAACCAACCATATGAGGCATAGGACAGCTTAGGAGAGAAAGCCTTTCCCTCTCTGGTCATCTTCTTATCACTATCATTTTTCCTCTAAGTATTTCTGTACAGGATACTGAGAGTGCATGAGTAGTTCAGTCCCTGGGCCTGACAGGCTCTATCAATCAAAGGCTTTCACAGAGGTCCCTGGGTAACCACGCTCAGTGAATTAGAAAGCACATTAGACAGAAGAGCTAGGACCAATCCAACTGCCCAAGGCAGACGAGGGTAAAGCCAGAGCTTAGAACTGCATTGACCTCCAGGTACTGGGGAGATGTCATTACTCCCAGAAATGTCTTGTCTTACTATTTAAAATTTAGATTCTGGACAGGGAGAGACAACCCCTAGCACTAGCCACCATAAACTACAGTAGAAAGAGGCTGTCAGAATGACAGATTCTTAGTGGATAACTGACCTCAGGGAAGTAAGCAGCTAGGGAGATGTGCAAGAGGAAGATTCAAGTTTGATCCTGGCCAGGATTTATTCTTAAGAACAAAAATATGAGCTTTCAGAACAAAGCAGCTGAAGTGATTAGGCAACAGAGATATAAATAACAGACAGCAGAGAATAAAAGGTCTTTTTCCCAGGGAGCTCCTGTTGAAAGTCTGGCAGGTCCCGATCTTATTTAGCAGAGAGCTACCGACAAGAGGAAACAGATTACATCAGAGTAACACAGGAGTGGGCATGGCTGGGAGGCCTGGGGTCCAGATAACCCTTACTCTTGCAAATCGGCTTCCTCAGCTCTTAGGAATGCTGAGTACCACCTGCAAGCTGACTACAGCAGCAGTCACATGGCCAGGCTCCCTGTCTCCCTCCACTCTCCAAGGCCCAAAAAGAAAGAATCTCTTCCACTTCCGCTGGCCTGGTAAATAAGGAAACGGGATGGAGGAAATCAGTCCTAGGAGGGGGTAAGGGATGGAGGAGGAAGTTCCTAGTGTTTGTCCAATTGTGACTCAAAGGTCAGTCAGTCAGATCTACGAAAGAGAATTTGTAGCAAAACCCAGGTTAGTGATCGACTCCCTTCTGGGATCTGCAGGCTTTTACTTGGACCTCATTATGCCCAAAATGAATCCTGTATTAGCAGATGCATACTAAAACCCCTAGTAATGTCTCTAGATGAAGTGATATCAAGTGAGAGGCTTGAGACAGTCTAACTGGTGGTCAGGTGAGTTAAATATACACATGGATTGTGCCCAGCATGATTTAAGCTAGTCACGGCCCCCATAACATCCCTTGTGTTTCCTCTCAAAGTAGTTACTGACCAGTTTCCAAAACAGTTGCACCCTATTTGAGAGAACTTGGGCTGCAGCAGCCACATCCCCTACACTTCTTTCCTGCTTTATTTTTATATTTGCTTTGTGGTTGGTCAAAGCTCTTCCCACAATTCCCCTTATATGCCCTTCCCTCTCCCACTACTCCACTCTAAACACATTCACATACACACCTTCATCCCAGAAGCCCCTGTAATAATACTAGCTCCTCAGTGGAAAGAAAAAGGAAAAAAATTTCAGGCTTACCTTTAAATTCCTGATTTTTGCCACTTTGCCATCAACTTCCACAATAATTCTTCCCCCTTCTTTGGTCTCCCTAAAAACAAGACCCAAACCCATATGAGAAGAAACATTGCTTTTTTTTTTGTTTCTTAATCAAGAAAAGAGGAGCTGAGACCAGTGCTATTGGGACAAAATGCTTCCCTACTGCTGCCTCCACAACTGGGGTGTCTGTTTCCACAAACAGCTGTAATCATCACATCCAGCAGTCCCCCAGCTAACATGCTTCTCTGGATCGTTAGAATTTGGCTCTGGGACAGCTAACAGTTACCATTATTGAGCACCCTCTATGTCCTAGGCACTGTATTAGGTACAGTACATATTGTACTTCATCTTATGCAATCCTCCTAACACATGCTCCTGACATAGCTTCCTAACATATCTTCATTTTTTCACAGATGGAAGATTAAAGCTGAGAGAAATTATGTAACTTGTCCGAGGTCACACAGCTAACAGGGGCAGAGCTGGGATTTAAACCCAGATTTGTCTGACCACAATGCCTGGGCTCTTAACTATACCTTAGAAACCAGGCTTGGAAACCCTGGAGAACATCCTCGGTTCAGCACACAACATGGCATCACTTCTCGATTTTTCTGGGATTTTTGAGCACAAACAGCAATGAAAAAGATTGTGGAGTCTTCTCTGTTGAGATCCTGAGAACATATTTCCCAAATCCTTTCTTATGTCTTCCTAAATTGGAATGAGAGCCAAGATCCTTACGAATCTTCCTAAGTTGCAGTTATGTAGTAACACTAATAACTAACCAACCCCCAAATTCGCTTTAAGGAGCTTAATCCAAGAGACCCATATACCTGAAGCCCAAAATGAATGGAATATACTCCATTCTAGACATGAAATCCTTTTTCATAACATAAACAGTTTTAGCTAATGTGCTCAAGGCCAGAATGTTAACAGATAAGAATTAAATTCATTAGCACTTCCTCCACTACGATGAAAGTTACCAATTAAATTACTACTAGCCTGGCGCCTGAAAGTTGATAAAATACGTTAGGTCTCATTTTTATCCTTTCTCAGGGTTCCCAGGATGTGACCTTGAGGATTAGGTTGTGGGGCACTCAGCGAGACAGGGGTCTTTTAGAGTTAAAATTATTTCTTTAAACCTGTCAGTGACTCGGGGATAAAGCCCTGGATAGGAAATTTCCCTCTCCCAGGTAATGACATTTCTGTTACTTAAATTTCCTCAAGGCCCTGATGTTCTTTCCTTTGAATTTCATATTTGATAGTACTTAAGGCAGCAGAGATATTCTTAGTCCCCCAGGATCATAAAACTGCATCCACTCCTCCCCCCCTCCACCCACCACCAGCCCTCAGCTCACCTAAAGAAAATCTTTCATTTTTGCTGTTAACATTTTACAAGATAATGTTTTTTTCCTTTCTGCATTTTAAACAGGTTTTATTATCCCTCCAGCCACTATAAAAGTAACACACAGATTATAGTATATTTGGACAATAAAGAAAATAAGAAAAAAATCATGCAATAACTTTTCCAAATCTATTATCTAATTTTTTTACTTTTGCCCTTTCTTGAGGATTCATCTAGGACTCTTGGGCATAAAGCAGCCAAAAAAAAAGTGTTCTGAACTTGACCTCTTGCAGAAAGATATGACACTATAGGAGGGTGAAATGCTGCTCCTCCCCTGCTTAGATCACTGCCATTGGTAACCTAGTGGTTCCAAAATATTCTAAAACAAAATGAGGGCAAAAAAACCTCAACTGGGGAGCTAGCCGCACAGAGTTCAACATAAGTCTACCGAGGAGGAGCCTTACACACGGCAGAGTGGCGCTACTACCACTTGCCTCTGGGTCCTGAATTCTACCAACAGGCGTTCAGTCCTTACGGTTAAATGTTTTGCACAGGGATAAGTCCTTAGTTACACATTTACTCCTAGGACAGTGTTTCTCAAAGTGTGGTCCACAGGCCACCTACATCAGAATTATGGAGACCGTGGCTAGTTAATTCAAATTCCTGTTAACAAGCTGCAATATAATAAGCTCCCCAGGTGAATTTTATGCATACTATAATTTGAGAACCACTGTCCTAGAGGGGAAAATAACCAAGCTATTACTTGTTATCTATTCATTTGTAAAACTTTAAAAAAACAGCTAAGTATAGGGAGGAATAAAAATGGTTGTTAAAAATTATATAGCTAACACTTTATTAGACACTTAAAAAGAGCTAGACTCTGTCCTAAGTATTTTTAATGTATTCTTTCATTTAATCTTCATAAAAAACCACCGAAGTAGTTATTTTTTTATTTTTTATTTTTTGTGAGGAAGATCAGCCCTGAGCTAACATCTGCCAATCCTCCTCTTTTTGCTGAGGAAGATGGGCCCTGGGCCAACATCCATGCCCATCTTCCTCCACTTTGTATGGGACGCCGCCACAGCATGGCCTGACAAGCAGTGCGTCGGTGCGCATCCGGGATCTGAACCCACGAACCCCCGAGCCGCTGAAGTGGAGCGTGCGCACTTAACCACTTGCGCCACCAGGCCAGCCCCCGAAGTAGTTATTTTATAGGTAAAAAATAGCATAGAAAGGGAATATAGTGTATGAAAACTAACTTTTGATAGGGCAGTGGGGAGCATTCCAGAGCCTACAGTATTGGCAGAAGAGAACATGTTCTCTCAATGATGAATGATTTTGGATAGACAAGGGGCAGCATCTCATAGTGAGATACGACTTCCTCATTATTGGAAACAACTGTGAGGTAGAGGGGAGGGCATCAAAATCACTTCCCATGTTATCATTTTACTGAGCGTCAGTTCTAGTCCTACTAAGCAAACAGGCATTTGATTGAGAAAGAAGTGCAACTTTTCCGTAATCTCAGAAAGGAGCAGCTTGGTCTGGTGAATCAAATCTTGGCTCTACCTACTTTTACAAGACCATCTTCTCATCTAGAAAAACAAAATATAGAAGCTTAGACCAGATGATCTCTAAGATTTCTTCCCAAGTACAAGATCAGAGTCAATGACTCTGTTAATAAGTCTACACCAACGACTTATTTGAACGTTGGAACAATCCACATAATCAGTGGATTCCCTAGATTCAGATGAGCCTCAGTGAAGATGGTGAAAGTTAACAAACTCTGGAGAATAACTACATCTCACAGAATTCTGTGAGAAGAGGGGAGTGGTGTCGACTTCTTAGCTGTGGTCACATTGGGTTTATCCATATTTGCTGCAGAGTCTGTGCTCCTGAATCCAGCCTGCTATAATCTGCTCACACCTGGATATCTGCAGTGTTGGTTCTACCACTTGCTGCTCAAGGCTCTTAACCTGAGCTAAAAGTAAATAAGCTTTTGTGCTCTTCTTTTCCTCTCACTTTTGTTTGATGAGATATGTTATTCTCCACTGTGGCTGCAAATAACAACTCAATTTCAACAGCATTTTTTAAAATGAATCCATGTTATCACAAATTCCAAGTTCCCGAGGAACTGAAAAGTTACTGTTAGGAGTGGTTAGTGTTGTTATCCTGAGAACCCTAAGAGAACAGTTCTGCAAACAGAGGATCTGCCAGAGGCTACCTCCAGGAAAGCAGCTGCACCTATGAAAACCCCGCAACTCTGAGCCACCACATCCAGTAATGCAGAAGCCAGATGTCATAAGCCATTTACCAATCTAAACACAGCAGTTCAGGCACATGCTGCTTTTCTTCTTTCTTCATTGTACCTCTTTTGTCTTTTTCCTATTTTGTTTTTCTTGTTTCTTTCCCCCATCTATTGCTTTCCTCATTATTGTTATTTGCATGACTTTTCAACATGAGTCCATATCAGGACAAACAAAATCCCCGCTAGTACCAAATTTGACTATGGGGGACAATGCCTTTTTTGGCCCTTCTGCCCAATTTTCAAGCCCTTTTATGTCCTGGAAATTTTTAAACCTCCCAAATAATTCCAGTATGTGCCTTCTGGTCCCAAACCACATTCTGCCGGCTTTATCTCCACCACTCACCTCCCTCCACACACCCTCTCCTCAAACAACCAAAACTTTTCTGTTTCCTCACAGCATAAGTCCTTTTCTCTCAGTGTTCTTACTACACAGAGTGCTCTTTACACCTTCTCCACCTATCAGCAAACTCTAATAGCTCCTTACAAAACAGTTCAAACACCAACCCTTCTGTGAAGCCTTTCCAAACCCATCAATGAAAAGGGGAAGAAATTATGTGGCTGCACACTGGATGCCTCAAGAGCTGAGAAGGGCAGGATCAGATTAACCCGTGAGGACATAGGCCTGACGACGTTGAGGGAAGGGCTTAGAATAACTTCCCCCTACTTCACAGTTCTGCTGTGGAGCACAGGAGGGAACTACGATCTTTCTGGGCCTCAATTTCCCTCTCACGCCTTACAATCTGCCTTTCTCCACATCTTCGCAGAGAACCCATGTGCACCCAGGAACACACACAATTCTGCCTCAGCTGTTGCCGGTACTCCAGATCCACCAAGAAGAGAGGAGACTGCCGGCCCCTCTCCCCGCGTAAAGATATTTTCCCAGCCCTTCCCAACGTACCCAGTGAGAAAGGCCCAACCCGTGCATCAAGCCTAGAGCCGCGGTTCCTCAAAACTCCTGCTGGCAGGACTCCAGAGACACCTACACAGGACAGCCCACCCCTGAGGCCATGTAGGAGCCGCTATCCCCCGGGCACGACGCGAAAGCTCGACCAGGAGCCTTGTCCCGCCAGGCCCTTCCGGTTTCCGGATGCTGGCCCCTGGGCCACTTTGTGTCTGACTTCTCCGGGCCACTATCACTTGAGAGGGAAGCAGGGACCTTGCCCTCCTCTCAGTTCATTTGACGCCTCAGGCATCCCCTCCCGCCCAGACTCACCTCTTGCTAAGAGGCCGGACCCTCACAGCCACTCTCACGTTCGCCATCCCTCGTCCACGGCCCAAGCCCGGCAGCTCGACCCAGCTGCAGCATCCCCGGCCCCAGCCCCAAGCCCAGGCTAGGCCCAGCCCCAGCAGGGTCCCGCCCGCCCCACGCGCCTCACGGGACGGCCCCGCCCATGCGCGCGCCGCAGCCCGGCCGGGGCGGTGCCTACAGAGCCTCGGCCAATCCTGAGCCCTGTGGGCGGGACGAAGCCCGGCCCGCCCCGCCTCGCTCCGCCCACGCACCTCCCGGGACGGCCCCGCCCAAGTGCGCGCCACAGGCCGGCCTAGGCGGTGCCTGAGGAGCCGTGGCCACTGAGCCCCGCAGGCGGGAGAGCGCAGAGCCCGGCAGGGTCGGGTCGGGTCGGGTCGGGTCGGGCCGGGCCGGTCTACTAGGAACTAGCTTTTGTTCTCCGACAGGCCGACAGTCCTATATACAGTCAATTGAATCTGTTAAGTTTCGGTTAACGCCCGACAGTTTACAGAGCAATTTGCTAAATACTTTTATTCACTGCCTTGGCCTGAGCTGTCAATTCTGTGGTTAAATTTTAAGGGTAGAAATGAAACGTGGAACACCCATGTTTCTGAGTTTCCAACAAGGTAGTGTCTCTCTTTGAAGAGGCATTTGGAGTGTGAAGGAATTTAGAGTCTACTGGCGAGCTGTGCCAGTACCTCATGGCCACCCCTGGCAGTGTTTGCAGTCGCAGAGAGAATGAACTGGTTCATTAATTCGTCCAAGAAATAACTATTGAGTACCTACCTAGAGTCAAGTGCTGTCCTAACGCACTGAGGAAACAGTCCCTGCCTTCGTGGAAATTAGAATCTACAGGGAAGGGAAAAGAAACAATAAATACATAAATATATAATGTGTCAAATGGTGCTAAGTGCAATTGGAAAAAAAAAAAAAAAGGAGGATAAGAAGCTGTGGTAATGGTCTCTGCGAGTGTGTGCCTATGCGAGGAAAAGGTGCTATTTTATATAGGATCTTGAGGAAAGGCCTCACTGATAAGGTGACACTTAACTAGATTTGAAGAAAGTGAAGGAGGGGGCCAGGCAGGTATTCATATATTTAACAAGTATTTATTTCCTAAGTAGACACCTGTTATGACAGGTTTTGTTGTAAGCATGAACGACATAGCAGTAAAGAAAACAGGCAAACCTCTGACCTCATGCAGCTTGGTGAGAGAAACTAACAGTAAATAAAACAATTTAAAATGTATATCAGGGCTGGCCCTGTGGCTTGGTGGTTAAGTGCGCGCGCTGCGATGCTGGTGGCCCGGATTCGGATCCCGGGTGCGCATCGAGGCACCACTTCTCCGTTCATCCTGAGGCCGAGTCCCGCATACAGCAACTAGAAGGATGTGCAGCTACGACATACAACTATCCACTGGGGCTTTGGGGGGAAAAAATAAAATAAATAAAATCTTTAAAATGTATATCAGATTTGCTAAGGAGAAAAAATAAAGCAGGAAAGGGAATAGAAAGTCAGTAGAGGGCCTGGCCCGGTGGTGGAGTGGTTCACGTTCCACACGCTCCGCTTGAGCGCCAGGTTTGCGGGTCTGGATCCATGGTGGCGACTTACTCCACTCACCAGCAGCGCTGTGGAGGTGTCCTATATACCAAAAAATAGAGGAGGATTGGCACAGATGTTAGCTCAGGGCAAATCTTCCTCAGCAAAAAAACAAAAGTGAGTAGAGAGGGTGTTGAAATTTTCTATAATATGGCCGGGGAATGCCTCCCTGAGAATGTGACACTTAAGAAAAATCTGAAGGATATAAAAGAAGAATTATGCTGTTATCTGGAAGAACAATTCCAGACACAGGGAACAGACCAATACAAAGGGCCTGAACTTGGAGATAGCCTAGAATGTTAGAGGAACAACAAGAAAGCCAGTGGCAGTAGAACGGAGTGACAGAGGGGGAGAGTCATAGAGGTAGCATGAGGCCATGGTTCAGTCTTTGGATTTTATTCTAGGGGACCTGGAAAACCATTGGAAAGTTGTGAGGAGAAAAGCAAAATTATATGATTTATATCTTTAAAGGATTACTCTCGCTGCTATTTCGAGACTAGTCTGAGGAGGGGGTAAAGATGGAATCCCAAGAGATTCTAGTCAGGAGGCTATTTGAGTACTCCAGTGGTAGTAAGAGTCATGGTGGTGCCTTTGATTTGTGTTTCAGGCATGTTGCAATAGAACTTTACCTATCCAGCCTCCTCTCTCTTACGTGTTTGAAAGTACCCTTCCTTAGAAGTATTGGGACAACTGGTTTACAGTTCAGATTCACCTGGAACTCTAGTCTTCTGAATGCCTTCTCTACTCACTGTGTTTGCAGTGAAAAGAATTGTTGTATTAGGGAAAACAGTATGAAAGTTCCTCAAAAAATTAAAAATAGTACTACCTTATGATCCGTCAATCTCACTTCTGGGTATATATCTGAAGGAAATGAAATCACTATCACAAAAATATATCTGCACCTTCTTGTTCATTGCAGCATTACTCACACTTAGCCAAGACATGGAAACAACATAAGTGTCCATCAAAGGATGAATGGATAAAGAATATGTGAAATATATACAATGGAATGCTATTCAGCCATAAAAAGATGGAAATCCTGCCATTTTCGACAGCATGGATGGGCATTATGCTAAGGGAAATGAGTTAGATAGAGAAAGACAAATCCTGTTTGATCTCCCTTATATGTGGAATCTAAAAAAGCCAAACTTGTAGAAACAGAGAGTAGATTGGTAGTTGCCAGGGCTTGGGGCGGGGAAAAAGAGGATATGTTGGTCTAAATGTACAAACTTCCAGATACAAGATAAATACATTCTGTGGATCTAATGTACAGCATGGTGACTACCATTAACAATACTGTATTTTATACTTGAAAGTTGCTAAGAGAATAAATCTTAAATGTTCTCACCACAACCACAACAAAAAAATGGTAATCGTGTGAGGTGAAGGATAAATTAACCAATCTTTTTTTTTTTTTTTAATTTTTATTTATTTATTTTTCCCCCCAAAGCCCCAGTAGATAGTTGTATGTCATAGCTGCACATCCTTCTAGTTGCAGATTAACCAATCTTATTGTGGTAATCATTTCCCAATATATACATTTATGAAATAATCATGTTGTACACCTTAAACTTACACAATGTTATATGTTAATTATATCTCAATAAAGCTGGGGGGAAAAGTATTGCTGTATTAATATATTTCTATCTTTAGGTTGGAGAACTTGGCATAACAATATTCTGTGTTTTTAAAATTATTTTGCTCATAAATATTTCATATGTCTTTAAAATATAATGACTTCCTTTTTAACATAACATAATACCATTCTCACAACCAAGGACATTAGTTCCTTAATACCATCAAATATTCAGAGTTCAAATCTTCCTGATTGTCTCAAAAATTTTTTTCCCACAGGTTCTTTGTTGGAATCAGGATCCAAAGAAAGTTTGGTTGATATGTCCTTTTATTCAGTAGCTTCCTTGTCCTTCTCTTTCCCCACCCCCCGACATTTATTTGTTAAAGAAACCAGGCCGTTTTCCTGTAACTTTCTCACAGACTAGATTTTGCAGATTTATCCCTGTGGTGATATTTAAATGTTTTTCTATCCTCTGTATTTGGTATCCTCTGTAAGTTGGTAGTTCAATCCGGACCCTTGATCAAATCAATCAGCACCTGTCTTTCTTTTTGTGCTCTTTGCAACTGCTAATGATCATCCTCTGAATTCATTAGGTCACCAATTCATTAGGGGTTTAAAGGTTCTGGACCCAGTTTCTAATGTGTGTATGGGAGAGATTTCCCCACACCACCAAGCAGTTCTCCAACACCAGCTGGGTATCCTACAATTCAATTCATCTCTGACACTATCTACCCAGAGAAAGCATCAGATTCTACAGGTTAAGGGCTAGTTCCACAAGACCAACCTCCATGTCTAATGCCAATTGCAAGCCCAGGTTGTTACCTGTGCTTCTGACCCACTGGCTACAGATTGGAGGTTGGTCTGACTCCCTCCTTGGGTTCAACTAATTTGCTAGAGCAGCTCACAGAACTCGGGAAACCTATTTACTCACTAGATTACTGGTTTGTTACAAAGGATATTAAAGGATATGAAACAACAGCCAGATGAAGAGATACATAGGGTGAGGTCCTGAACAAACAAGTTTCTGTTCTTCTGGAGGTTGAGGCTCAGTACAGTGGCACGTGGAAGTGTTCTGGTTCCCCAACCTGGAAGCTCTCTGAACACAGTCCTTTGGGGGTTTCATGAAGGCTTCATTAAATAGGCATGATTGATTAAATAATTGGCCATTGGCCATTGGTTCAACCTTCAACCGCCCCTCTCCCCAGAGGTCAGGGGGGTTGGACTGAAAGTTCCAACCCTCTAATCACATGGTTGGTTCTCCTGGCAACCAACCCCCATCCCTAGATGGGGTCAAAAAATCACCTCATTAACATAACAAGTGATACCTTTAAGGGTCTCATCACTTAGGAAATTCCAAGGGTTTTAGTATCCTTGTGACAGAAATGGGACGAAGAACAAACATATTTCTTGTTATAAATCACAATAGCACAGGGTTGCAAAGTGATGACACTGTAATTTTATCATTCTTCATTTATGAGTTGAAATACCTATATAAAGAGCAACATTTCCTCATCAACTATTTGGTTACCCTGAGGTCCAGTTCACATAGCAAAGACAGGACAAATGTTTGATTGTTTCAATTACCAGTTTTCAAAATAAGTCAGTTTCCTAGCACTTTCCAAAGGTGGTCAATGAGTTATTGTTGTTTTTAATATTATTATAAACTCATGCATTTAAGCATATTTGATTAGCTTCAGCCTACTGCAGTTACTTTTTTCTTTTATGCTTGAGGAAAATTAGCCCTGACCTAAGATCTGTGCCAATCTTTCTCTACTTTGTATATGGGTCACTGCCACAGCATGGCTGACAGGTGGTATAGGTCTGTGCCTAGGATCCGAACCCATGAACCTGGGCCGCTGAAGTGGAGCACGCTGAACTTAACCACTAGGCCACAGGGCTGGCCCTCAGTCACTATTCTTGATAG